CTATTGTTACCACCATAAAGAGAAGACGCTGGAAATGGATTGGTCATACACTAAGGAAGGGTGAGAGAAATATAGCGCGTCATGCGATGGATTGGAATCCGCAAGGAAAACGGAAACGTGGCAGGCCCAGAACTACATGGCGCAGAAGCATACAGAAGGACCTGAAGGAGATCAACATGACCTGGTGCGAAGCCAAAAGAGCGGCTCAGGACCGACAGAAATGGAAAGCAATTGTGGACGCCCTATGTCCCCCATGGGACAAAGAGGACTAGATGATGATGATGATGATGATGATGAGAGAGCTGCGAGGAGCTGCGAAGCGGCAAGAAAGAAAAATCCTTGGTTACCTTGGACTTCAATCTCCCTTTCCTGCAGACGCCAGGGTCAGGATCTGACCCTCGGGCTCGAATTGGTTGATATTCTTACAAACACACAAATCAATATGATTGGTTCGTTTGATTGGTAATATCGAGGGGACGGTGGGGATATCTGTCACTGCACTTCTTGAGGTAAATTTTGCTATCTCTACCAGCTGGGAAGGAATTTGTTTGCAAAATACTTCGGTTCTCAGTTAATTCGCCTGTGTTCGACATGAATTATGTTTCTAACAGTGTCATCGAAGAAATTTTGAGCTCGGTACTCGAGGAGCGTTTTCCAGAGATTGAATATCCAAGGAAAGCCTTGCTCGCAGTCATAAATTGCAAGGATGTGTTCGCCATACTGCCAACCGGACATGGAAAGTCAGTTAGAATTCAGTTGCTCCCTGATGTTTGCAGATACCTGTACCTGTCAGGCTATTCATACCCTCACCATGCCATAATTTTGGTTGTGCGTCCTCTGAAGTCTCCGGCGGACTCTCATATCCGCGAACTGCGAAACCGTGGCATTTCAGCGTCCTGTTTTTGAGCAGTGAAGACGTCGACGAGAACAATCTGCTCAAAGAAGCTTATGCCTTTCTATTCGGAAGTCCCGAGTCCTTCCTACAAAACGAGAAGTGGAGAAACATGCTCCGTAGTAATGTTTAACAAGACAGAACCTTAGCGATCGTTATGAATGAAAACATTCTCGCAAACACGCGCGTTGACCCCGGCCAAGTAGGTCAAGTGATACCACTCTTCACTACCCGAGCAATCTCGTTCCCAGAGTCTTCGCTCCCCTTGACCAGCGGTCGGACAACGAAGAGCTCTGAGAGCAACCATTTTAAAATAATTGAATTCTGCCCATCCGGTTTCATTGCGCAGTCTGCCTCTATGCGCGCCGAGCATGTTTCGGGGCGCAAGGAGACAAAGTGTCAAGATTGGTGTCTCGAAAAGCAAAAGAATAAATGTGGCT